TGGTTGTTCTCATCATTCTCTCGCCGAACTGACGCAGTGACGGCTATGCTGTGTATCGTGATGCAGGAACTATTGCGTGCTGTTGGTTCTGACCGGCTATTGAGCTTCACGAGCCTTGCGATGAACTTTCGGACTCGGCCGTGATTGTTTGCTCCTAGAGATAGGCGGGGTTCCTTAGACGATTTTCATTACCCGACAACCGCAGCTCTCGCTGAATGAGCAGCTTTGGCCGGACGCGAGTAATGGGTTGCATGGTAGAGCGGAGTTTTGAATTTGTGTAGTCGTGGACCACATGATTGTTGATCACTGGGGTACAGGAAGGAGACCGTGTCCGTAGGATCAATTGCGCGGTGACAGACATCGTTCGTCGGGCTACAAACCCAGAAACTATAGACCTGCGGGGGTTGTACGGGACATCTCGGAATGATAGCGAGGATGGACAGGCCCGTGCGTGGTAGTTGACCCCGGATGCGTGGTAATTACCCCATATCACTCTATCTCAATAATGCCCAAGGCTGGCAACTGCCGCCATAACCCTCTGGCACCAGAACGCTTATCAGCACGATCTGAGCATGGACCAGAGTTCTGTCCCCGTGATCTGCGTTCCAAGGAGTTCCGGTCAGAGTCACACAGGTGGTTAACGCGTCTACCATATTGATGTTTGCGGAGAATGATCTTCTGGGCGAAGTTTGTTTGCTCTGTTGTAAGATAACGCAATCATCAACATGATATGGCCGATGAGTTCTGATCTCGAGGGCAGCTGAACCCACGCATGCAAGATAAGGGCGGGCAGTAGACCCTCATTTGGAAGTTCACCGTGGGTTTGATGCAGGCAATGGATACCTCGGGCATTATTCTCGAAAGCTTGTAAATCACTCTATCCCGTTGATCTTTGATCATGGTGGCACAGCGTGCTACCGTTATGCTACTGAGACCCTTGCTACTTCAATCAGTTATCCGCGATGGCCACGGAAGAAATTCTGCGGTGTCAGTGTCCGTCGAAGAAGGAGTCGTGAAGATAGAGCTGACCTTCTTTCGCATTTCGTTCTTCCTTTCTACGAATGGTTAGATGCCCGATCTTGGCCTAATGATTCAACTTTGGTAGCCCTTCTGGTGGTTAGACTCTCGCTTTGGATTGAGAGAGAGTCTGCAAGCCTACTAGGCAGTCGTTGCCTCAGGCCACTCGCTCTTAGCCCGTGGTCACTGCAAGAGATAGCAGGCTTCAACTATATCTCCATTGCAAAGCTTTGATTGTGTCCTGTTAAGCTCCATGCATACAATCTGGGGTTGAAGTCCATCTTTACTTAGTCTACGTCCGCCATGCAGTAGATACTGCGGAGAAGATCTCCGCAGCTTCATTGTGTGCGTCAATGTGATATGTCTGTAGAAGCAATGTACTGTAGAAAGTGTACTGTACTGTACTGTTCTGTTGCCGGGCCAGCAGCTTGGTTGCAGTATGTATAGTATGACATCATTATCTTATCTCTCCACCCATTCTGCCGCCTTTCACCGCGAATACCCACAGCAGTGGGCTTGTCACGTGGCACTGTCGTCATTTTCCAATTGTTTGCACCGAAAGTGCATGACTTCCGCTTTCCTCATTCTTCATTCTCCACATTCCCAGACCAAGTTGTGGTTGACCCCTTGGATCTGATCACTCGCTTAACAGCCCACCCCCACACCCACAGGTGAGGAGGGAACGAGACCGGATAGAGGGGGATCCGCGGAGAAGACAGAAAGATGCAGTAGACTGAAGCCTCTCCGGACAGAGAGGCTGTCACAAACACGGATCAGTCGGAAGGGCAGATCGATGTTTGAGAAACGACTGTTTACGCTCAGCAGCAATGCAATCTAACGCACGTTATACACTTACTAACCACATTAGCCAGCAGCAAATAACCCCGGTGTTGACCATCAGCACAGCAACTGACGATACAACAAGGGATGGGCGTGCATATCCGACCAACCGCAATCTGCAATCACACCGCGCCAGTACACATGACAGCTATACCCTCATGCAACAGACATCCAAGCCGCCCGTCCTGTCCTGTCCACCCCGCCCCAAAACCTTCAATTTCATTGATCTCGGGCATTCAGACTCTCAACCTCGACCCGGAGGAGAGTGTCCCATTAGCGCGGGCTTCATCCTTCCGCCACGCAAGCCTGGACGGTAATGCCACTGGACCGGGGGTCCCGTCGAGCACAGACACCACTTCTTGACTAGCAGGGAAGAGAGAAACGCCTAGGTTAGCAGAGTGACAAACATGCCATACACATTGTCTGAGCGCGCAAAACCCCTCCTCCCCCTGCTGTGTGTGAGTTTCAGTCCGACTTATCGCCAGCCGACCGTGTTTCCCCTCTTTCTTTTCTTCCTCAATGGGAAACGTTGAGCGTCGCGGTCCGCGAATGTGGGGTGTGCAGCTATAGCAGCCTTCCGTTAAGATGGCCGTACAGGATGGCTTCGATCCGTCCCCTCCGCACTGCAATATCACGACATACAGCTTTTCCCTCTCTCTCGCACTTTTACTGGGTCCCAACCGCCCTATCCTCGAGCTAGTCACTTGACAAGAGCACAGCCTTTGCGGGGTACAGATACCCTGGAGCACATCATATACGCAACAGTGTGGCCCCTGGTCTGCCAACTCATGCTCTCTGCCTGCGTCTAGTCGCTTACCCTCAGTCGCGACAACGCCATTACGGGAGTCTATACCATACTATGGCCAATTATACAAGTACCCACAGGTATATGGGCACCCTTGGCGCTTCTTCACCCTGTCATGGCTTAACAGCCACCATGCTATTGTCAACATGACCATCGGAATTTCTCATTTGAACAATCTTGCAGGCAAGTCGCCTGTCACCAAGATCATTCAGCACTCGTTCTTTTCTTCCAGAACGGTGCAGGAGGTTATCTCCGTCTCATGGGGTACGCCATTCAATCTCAGTGTGGACGCTACATCAGGCTACCAAGCCAGACAACACATTGAACTTCAAACCACGGACGCAGCAAAGGTGCATCAAACCTTCTTCCTAGGCCTCTTGGCAGTCTCTAGCCAATGCTTACAAACCTCCAACCAACCAACCAACCCGACCCGTAAGCACATATCGGTATAGACGCCTCCACTGTGACTTTCTCAACCTGCGCCGTCTGGGGGTCCACTTCCCAAACGTTGTATGTTTCTCCTTGCCACAGCCACCTCTCCTTCCCCGCCTCGTGAAGTAGTCCTATTCAGATAGAGCATCACCTCGTGCAGGGGCTCGCCACTGACATGAGACAATACAAACGCCCTACGTTTACGACAGTACAACGCCTCCACAATGGGAATGTATCCCTACCCGCTGATCGAGTGGTGGCAATGGACCACGGGCGACCCTTCCAAACGCCGCCCCTTGATGCGCCTACCCGCCGTCCAGATGTCAATAGAACCAGTAGAACCCCCTCCGAGATGGACAATCTTGACAATCCTTGAGCAAGCCAGAATCCTCTGTAGAACAAGAGAGGCAAATCATTTTTGAGCGGCAAAAGGAGTACATGTTGTACCATCTAGAATTAGAAGAAGAGACCCTCGAGTACATCCATATACATCGATGTCCTAGAAGACAGACAGACCAAAGAGGCGAATCCCATCACTTTTTAAAATAGATTCACCCCTGTAAGCCACTCAGTACAGTAAACCTCGCCGCTTCCGCCTCTACCTTCCATTATATTCTTTCAAACTAGCCAGTTACTCTAGCCTAGTAGTATACCAAACCCAACCAGCCTGAGGCAAAAACAATCCCTTCGCCCCTTTGCCTCTGCTGCACACACACACAATCTCCTAAATCAGTCATGACACTCACCTCTCCTGATATCATCCTACACAGCTTTGTTTACATTCTTCAGCTAGATAGACATCATACTTAGAGCTGTTGATATCATCCTCTGCACCATCGATATCATTCCCCCTACCTCTCTCCCTCGCCCCCAGAAAACAAAGTTATGCTGTGGCGCCCACCTCGCCTTGCCTCGCCTCGCTTCGTTTCGAACATTCCAGATATTCCGTTCTTGCCAGTGAGTGTGCGGGTGTGGGTGTACAGTAAAATGTCTTCACATCCTGCGAGATGATGCAAGTTCCGTGGCGCTGGCTGCGGTCTGGACGCGCGGGATATGCAGTGGGCAGAGGGCGAGAATCCGAGGGAAGCAAAAGCATATGTTCTGTACTGTGAGTCGTGATAGTACAGTGGGACTGGGACCGGGACTGGGACTGTACACTAGGTAAGGTTCGTAGAGCAGCGTACAGAAGTGCTCACTTAGGCTTGGGGTTCCCCTTCCCCTTCGCCTTCCCTTGGGGTGGGGTGGGTCGGTTCTGTCGCTGTTCGCAAGATGTTAGGGTGCGAGACATCGACACCGGCATCGACATCGACGTCGACACAGAAAAGAGAAATTGAAGCAGAAGTGAAAAGCAAGTGCCACTGTGAGGCGGTCTGCCCTTCAGTAAGTTAACTTATTGGAGTGTGTTTCTTCTTGGGGGGAAGGGGGGGAGGGGCGAGGGGCGAGGAGGAGCGGGGGATGAAAAGTTAGACACATGCACCATCACCACCACCACCACCAACCGTCACTGTCACTTACTGTCTTCGGGTCCGGTCTCGGTGGGAGTGCGATTTTGGGGGATAATTGCAGGTGGTGCATGGTACTGTACTGTACTTACAGTCCCCTGGGTGTGTATGCAGTGTAGTCTGCTGAGAAGGAATGCTTGACCGTTCTTGATTTCCTGCCATTGCCATTACCCTCTTGCTGGGCCCTTGGAATTGGGAATTTCTGCACGCAGCTGCGTGCTGCACTCTGTACTGTACACTACACTACACTACACTACACTACATTTACCTCTCCCCAATGGCAATGGCAATGGCAATGGTCACAGCTTGCAGGTTGTAACTGGGCCTGCTTTTGGTCGCCGGAGGGACACCTCGTAAAAGAATCAGCCCCGATTACAATTGTTGTGCACCCTTCGATGAAATTTTGTTTGTATTATTGTGTGACCCAATTAATCCGTCGCTCATTCAGGAATCTCGACTTCGTCTTGGTATACTATTAAAAAGAAAAAGAAAAAAAAAAGCAGAATTCCGCCCATCAAGCCAGCTTCATGGAAGACATATAATCGAATCGCAAATGCAACAAAAGGTTCAGACAGCCGCCCAGAGACAATAAAAATTGAACACAGTATTAGGCATAATAAAAAAATGGGTAAGGTCGAAAGGTACAATATATGCATGAGGTGAATAAAGCGTCTTTAAAAGCACCCGTCTGGTCTCTCTTTTCTCTCTTTCTTTCTTTCTTTTGTCTTTCTGGCCTTGGTCGTTCGAGTTGCAACACCTAAAGGTATGATCATCAGGCGGGCACAATAACCGTTTTCATTTCCTTCATCAACGTTCGTATGTATCATCAATTGTCGTTAGTCTTTCATATGATCATTCGAGATTCTGACATGCACTAAACACTCGCCGTGCGGCGTTTCTCGCTAGGTTTCTGGGCGTATGCAATCCACAAGCGAAAGCCCGTGCCGCGCTGTTGACACTCACGGATCACCTTCCGGTCCGACCAGATGCTGAGAGCTATATCGCCATTCGGGAGGATGGGGATCTCGTAGCATCGCGTGTACCACCACCTGCCTACCTTGGCGACTATCTTGCGGATCGATTCATCGTTTGTGGGTGATGGGGATGGATCAGATAGAAGGTCACCCAGAGATAGGTCGGTGCTATTGGAAGATGACTTCCCATGAAGCTTTTGGTAAACAGTCGCAGAAGTCTCTGTGAAGGGCGAAATACTGTCTGAAAGGCCAGTTGTTGCAGCAAGCACAAATGGGTCCGAGGATGACGTGGAGGTGGATGATGCTGACGATCTCACGATCACTCCTGCAACGGGAATTCGAACCATACATCGTCGGAGATTATCGAACCCATACTTTCCAAGCAGCTTCTGTATGCTATCGCTCGTGGGCTTCAGGCTGATATTCGGGTCGGACACATACGTCCTTTCCTTCAATGTCCTCAAAGCTCTCCGTGTACGGTTGCCCATGTTCACCATATCACGGTCAAGGATGCTCATCTCCAGGTAGCCTCCCGCGCGCAGAACACGCTTGCATTCAGACACAAGTCTGGCTTGCGTGTTCTCCGCACAAGCTGCAGGGAAGCGCAGAACAGCAACAGTAAAATATCCTTTGGGGAAAGGCAATCTGTCGTTGAGGGTCGACTGGTAGAACGTGTGGTGATTTGATGGTGGCTGCCATGCTGCCGGGTGCTTGAACGTAGCGGTATTGGCTCCCTCATTGAGACTATATACACTGGCTGTAGGATACGTCAGGGCACAGTAGAAGGACCAGTCGTCGTTTCCGAGTCCATCCACAACCAAAATTCTTTCCTGATCTCCGCTTTGGGCACGGCCATGTCCGGGACTAAATAGAACCCTCCCGAATGATAACCAGCGACTGGTCATGAGCGAGCCGGACCTGATGTTCGTGAGAGCAGTTGGCCCTTCACGATCACGTTCCGCTATGTCGAATAAGGCAGTGTTGCGCTGACGGCATTCTTCGAAACTGAGAGGTGCAACTAATGCTGGGGAGCCAAGCAGGCCTGACGGGTGCTCCGCAAGGGGCAATGGCATCACGCTGTCGGGTTCTTGCTCGGTCAATTCCTTGTTTTCATCGCGGTTGTCACAATAACAAGCGATTATGCTACTGAAGGAAGGCTGGGAGGACGGGGCAATTGACGTGCGAGATTCGGCAGGAACATTGGACCTGCGGAGTCGGACAGAGCCATTAGTCGACACTGGAGAGGAAGGCGTAAGCTCGACTTTTGGCCCATCAACCGAACCAGCCGGGGGCTTCATCTGATCACCAGTCAGCTCCGCTTGGAGCGTTTTGCTAGCCATTGTCGCCATCTCGAGGTTCCGATCCGACTCTGAGCCAATTGAAAACAACGTACTTGTTGTCTGGGGCGACAGAACATGATCAATGAGGTCATCGTACTCCCCCCATACTTCATCTTCCATCAAATCTGCCCCGGGGCTTGGAACCACGGCTGTGATTGCAGCAAGGCTCTCGGAGCCACTTGAAGTAGATACTACCGATTCCTTCCTGGGTGCAAACGTCATAAACTCATCCTTTGCATAAGGACCAGCAATGAAGTCTAGGACACTGAATTGAAAAAGGTCGGCAAATGGGTTCGCTAGGTCAAAACCGTCAACAGACAGCTTTTGCGGGGATTCGAGCTGTTGCACTGTGGGTGGTTGTGAGATGGACGGGGAAAATTCGTTAGGCTTCGGGCCAACTGGAGCGAGTAATGAAGGAGAGTCCGCCACGCTAAATGGTCTCGAGAATGACTGCAGAGCCGGCTTGTGCGGTCGCTCCCTTCTCGAAACAACCCGGGGGATGCGACCGATCGATGTGAGGCGACTGGTACGTTTAACTTCCACTCGATCGTCCAATCTACCTTCGGGGCTCCGAGGAGCAAAGCCCTTGTCAAAATAGACCTTTGGAGACTCGGCTTGATCTCGAAACAAATTGTCGTGTAGCTTCGGTGGTGAAGGTAGCAAGATGGAATCGGTAGCGTCTCGTATATTCAAAGCAGCTGGCACTTCAACTGGGGAGGCAATCTCGGTCTCTTCGTCCTCGGTCGGAGGTGAGTTCTCAACACGATGGACTATCTCTTCAAGTGGGTCCGAGTCATCGTCCAGCAGCGCATAGTACGGAAGAGGCCTACGGGCAGCTACGGGAGATACCGTAGCATGAAGCTTTGGGCCAGAAGGGGCGTCAATGTCGACAGGTGATCGAACTGTGTCCGGTTTTCTGTGAAATATATTCCATTTGAGCCCAAGGCCTCTCTTAGATGGCTTTTTCTGTGGGCTCTGTGCCTCAAGAGCTCTGGGCTGTCTATCATCGTCGGGCACTTGAGGTTTCTGATATTGCCGACTGACCTGAGCAAGCACCTGCGGTTTGACAACTCTCGTCTGCTCTGGTTGGGTGACGGACATATCCGCAGGCTCGGAAAATGCTAATATGCTCGAAGTCTTTTGCCCTTCCGAGCCTCTCCAGACTGATTCGCTCAGTGTCACCGAAGTCGCCCTAGATGATGGCAATGTCTCCGTGGAGCCGCTTGCAGATGGAGAAACCTTGGACTGTTGTGTCAGAATTGAGTTTGTGCCTGTACTGAAATCACTTGTGCTCTGTTCGCTCTGCCTTCTCAAAGCAGCAGTGCCGTCCATACCACCGCCTTGGATGATCACAGGTTGAAGACGCTCCAGTAGAAAGTCATCAAGCTCGAACTCCGGACGGCCTTTTCCAAGAATGCCTTTGCTGCTGGAAACAGGCTTTGGTCCACTTCTTACTGAGCTTGACGATCGTGCTCGACTGGTCGTACTGCTAGTCGTGCTCATCTTGCGGCCTCGCTGCGAGTACCTGCCGTAGCCTTCGTGGCCTGTTCCGGCAGCTGGTCCTTTGCGAAAAGATCTACCTTCGTTATCCTTTTCTATCTCTGGTTTAGATCGTCTAGAGAACAGACCAAGGGTGCGGGTTTTGCCTGGACTGACAACTTCGTGCTGAGCGTTAGGACCCTTGGTCGGGATTCGGGGGCTTTTCCATAGGAGTTCGGGCGACGTGGGGATGCGTGAGGTGGTTCCTTGCGCAGATAAAGTAGAATACAGAGAATCCACAGACGTGGCTGCAGACAAGTTTGAATGTGTCGCTCCCTCAGGTACTGCATTCCGATCGCCTGAAATCCGACGTCTATGTCCTGTCAAAGCTGTAGGCATTATGTTGCTCTGAATGATCGGTGAGGGCTCCAGCACCAACTGATGGGTCCCTTCCCTGCTGGGTCGTGTGGGAATATGGACAGAAATCTTCATCCCGTCCGCTCTCTCCTCACGAAAAACAGATTTGGGTTTCTGTGCTGCTCCAGAGTCCGGCTGCATATCGTGGCTTGGCTGCTTCTCACTGAAGAGGATCGGTTTTGTCCAAGTGGGTAACTTTCGTGGCAGGCTACTTCCAGCCACGTTCGGCGCATTAACCATTCTCGTCCCAGACTCTTCATGGTAGCTATCACCATGTAAATCGCCCCGGCTTGCTCTGGGGCGTGGTTCCGATTCATCTATAGCGCTTCGTGCAGGCTTTCCTGCGGATGAGCTCGGCTGGTGTTGCTGGGGAGAGAAGACAGGGAGCCTGCTTTGAGTTGGACTTGGCTGTCTTATACGAGGACCCTTAGGAGGGATCGAGATCCCTGGTGAGTACGAAGACAAGGTAGTAGGTGTGGATGTCCTACTCCACATGCCGGGAGACTCAGAGTATCTCGTCGATGGGCTGCTGGCAGAAGGGATGATTGGGGTTGGGGGTGGGAGGCTCTGTGTGTTGATCGTGGTGGTCCTAAGACTGGCGAACTCCTTTGGGACATCGTGAGCTGTGATATTCGATACGCTGCTCAAAGGAATCTCCGGCGAGGTCATTGGTGATGAAAGTTGTCCGATCAGACTAGCATTACCTGGCGGGGACCGAGATAGAGTAGTCGCTGGACGACCAATGGAAGATTGCTCTGGAATTATAACATTCAGCTTCTGAGGCCTGATTCTATCCGGCATGGGCTTAATTTGTGCACTATGCTGGCCAATTGTGGGCGCTCTCCTTCGCAGAACATTCCGCAGTCGACCTTGACTTGGGGTCTGTGGTTCAGTTCCGGAGTGACTCAGGGGTCCAGCAGCCATGTGGGATGCCAATGATACACGACGATCTGCCTTCGGGTCCGGGGTCGAATGCGGCGAAGATGAGTGGATCGTCCCTTGAGAGGATGAGGGCGAGCGAGCCATGAGACCAGTCGGAAATCTCGACGTCTTCGAGGATGCAGAGGCATGGCGACTATCTTCTGCATCGGATAGAGATGGTGTTCTGCTATTCCTGGATGGTCCATTGTTCGGCCTTGGTATCCGGGGACGGTGCAATAATTGGGCAGCAGAGTTCGAGGAACGTGCTGAAGCCATCCCGGTCGACGATACATTTCGGGGTTTAGAAGCGACATCCTTCAGCCGGGGTATTCGGCCACCGTCAGACTTGTGCGACGACATCGTATTACCAAGATCCAGTCGCCAGCTTCAGTCCGAGGACTACTAATCTAGCGATGGTATGGAAACGGACAAGGCTCGAACTCATTCCGTCTGGTTCCTGATTATCGGGATTGGAGCGAAATCTGCAGGCAAAATGCGATGTAAGCTTCTATACGCTCCGGGCCTGAGTCAGAGAACTGATTGATCACTTACATTGGTAGCTGGTAGCATCGTGTTCTGCGGGGGATATTGTATGACAGGAGCGCTTCTATATGGGGAAAGTTGAAGACTTCACAATATTGCCGCGTGGCGGGGTATTTCTAAGACACAATGAAGCGGTCAAGCACAGAACGATGTACTATACAAGGGTTTAAAAGCACCATAAAGAACCGCGTTCTTGAAATAGCAGGCACCTGAAAAACGAAAAAAGAAATTGGCCGTCCAGATAATATGATTGCACTTGAGCGAAGACGACAGAAAATATCCAATTGCTCGCGGGTATACTTGAGCCGGCGGACAGATGCACTCACTGCGCCACAGCCCGGAGACGTCGCCGGTGGCTAAATGCAGGCAGGGAGAAAAGAAAGTGGTTGAGCTGGGTCTGCACGACCACGTCAGAGAACGTGCTGCGGCAGTCTGCAAATCAGAGAGTCCGCTCAAAAGGAAACTCTCGAAGGCCAGCTGAGAGAGAAGTAAAGGGTAGCAAGTGAAGTGAGGAGGAGTTAGAGGGCGAAGGAAGGTCATGGATCAGGTTGTATTAATCAGTGACCATGAGATCTGGACCTGGGCGACAGTCTATGAGCGTCCATAATTGAGTTCAACCCCATTGTGGACCGTCGAGCGCGGCGGGAAAGCAGGATATCCATTTGCAAGTCAATAAATCCCTATAACTAAAGGGTCAACTATCACAGAGGAATCCTGGCGTCGTTTGTGCGATCGACATCGGCGCCGGATATGAGCCCTGATGTGACCGGGACGATCATTGGCGCAGGAACTACTCTGTCGCCTTGTCGCATAGCATATCAGTACGATTATCATATAATTCCCGTCATCGCCAGTGCATCTTGGAATGGTTATCGTTGGGGGCAAATTGAGCCTAGAGGATCCTCATCTTGGTCAAGGGCACGAGCGTTTTGGACTCCACAGGTATTCCCGCTGAAGTCGAATTGCGAGAGGCATAACGAGCCAGAGTGGACGGGAACGATTGTTCAGATCCACCCGCGCTTGTTACCTTCGTTATAAGTGGTGAAGACTACCGCAGCACAGGCCTGAGGACTGTTCAACGGTAAGGGCTGACAGGTCTCGATGGAGTCGAGTGGCGTGGGATAGTGGACAGTCCGTCGTCCTGGAATTTGACCACTTGCGATGGCCCAACATGCAAATGGCAGGTGCAGGCATCATTGAATGGGATCAATTCATTAAAGGAAGAATTGCCGCAGCTAGATCTGGTCTGTGTGTCAATCATGATCGACTCTGATTTGACGCCTGTCGGACATTTTCCTTCGTTCTATCTGGGATTCGGGGGAGGGGGGAGGGAGAGAGGGGAGAGAGGGGAGAGAGGGGAGAGAATGGCGAGATTGGCGATAACTGAAAGAGGGGGTGGGGTGAATTCTTTTTTTTTTTTTTTTTTTTGCATTAGTGCGGCGGTCAGGTGAAAGGCTGGAGGTCACTGATGGTCACTGATGGTCAGTGACTTCTTCTGTTGGTTATTGGTCTTGCCGATCGCGGCGAGTCCGAGTAAGAGAACGTGAAGGAAGTGACGAACCACCACGAGTGGCTACTCAGTCTACTCTATCATAGTACACTATCGATCAGGTGCAGAAAAAAGGAAGAGGGAGAAAGAAGAAAAAGGCAGCATCTTCAGACCCTTCAACTTATCCACAATGTGTGCGTGCCATCGCTGATCTTGCCAGAGGAGCAACTCTGGTACGCTGGAAGGTTCGCCCCGAACCATCCTGTCATCCCCAGTTTCCCTGCTTCTCCAATACGTACTGTACAGTACACTGCTCAAACAACTTCTTCTCCTAGGGCGAGCCATGGCATGAAATCAATTGCTGGGTAACTTATAATAGCTGGCCAGGATATACTTCGACCAGAGATCTTTGTTTTCATGGCATCCTAGCTTATGTACCCAGTACTCCGTATAGTACACGGCAGCTGAGACCAAGGGCCACAACTTAGAATGGTGGAGACACTGTCGGTCCCTGAAGCAATCAATTCATCGAAAATCAAGAATCGAGAATCGAGAATCAACCCTTGTGGGATCGAGGTTGACGGTCTATTAATATCTCTGCTACCTTTACTGCTCTTTCTCTCTTCGCCAGCCCAGTAGATGCGGAGTCGCTCAGCCCGTGGGTCTTGATCCGCCGCTAAATTCTGGTCACCGTGCGACAATCCGCCCTGATTGACGGATGCCATCCGCGCGGTCTGGCTCAGCACCGAGCCTGGACGGGGGCAACACACCGCGCAACACGAGACGATTCGCTCGATTTAGTGAAGCAAAAGCCCTTTCGCTTACCGCAGTTGTTCACTGGAGCGGAGATCAGCGGCTATTCGAGGCCTTTGCTCAGCACTAATCATGGAAGTGCTTGACTACAAATGACTCCGATCAGAATAAGCTAAGCTAAACGATGGCGATATATACCAATCACCGACCAGCCTGAGAGCGACTTCTCGTTGGGACGGCCGGGATACTCAAAATGGGTAACAGGACACGAAATGAAGGTAGTAGGCGGGCGGGAATGCGAGCGACATGATAGTGAGGGTCTTCTGCAGTCACACTATTGGCATGGCGTGGCGCGGTGATTTCGATCTACTGACGCGGATCTCATTGCTTTGAAAAGACCGAGACAGTTCTGATCTTTCCATGGCCAGCGAGCAGCGAGCACTGTCCGACTTTCTGCAGGAACCGGCGCCTGTCATGCACCTTTCAGCTGAACATGTCAAGGCTGCCGCTACCGACCGCCACAGTAACATAGCTTGCAGCTTGACACGACCGTCTAGAAACCTCCAGAGAATATTGACCGTCACAAGCAGCCCGCTTCTATCTATTCATGGTTGTCGACGAAACGGGTCCGGCTTGCTTGAGCTCCCAGAAAGCAGAGTAAACATGGCACAAGACAGGAACAGAAGACACACAAACAGATGTTGGACTGGATGTCACCCTGAACGGTGCTTTGTCCTCGTTCAGCACCAATCTCCGATCAAGGTCCGATTGTCAACATAGTAACGATAGCCCTGGCCTTGTCCCGCTCTCCCTAACTCGTCAACCCACTAGGACTGTACGACTACCGTATGGGACAAGAGCATCTGGCCGATCTGATTGACCAGGTCGAGCTTCCTCGCTGCCGTCCTATCATACTACAGAATTGGATTGACAACCATAGCAGCTTCCTTCAAAAAGCTTAAGCACACCAGTAAAAGTCTGAAGATCATTATTGAATTCCCTTAAACGCCGAGCGAGATGAAAAACAGATAGAATGAAAGGTAAAACCGCGAAGCCAGAAAGCCGAGGAACAGCCTATCCGAATCTCTTCTTCCTGGCTTCCAAAGCCTGGGCGTCCTTTTCACTCAGACTGCTACCCTTGTTTCCACCTCCATTCTGCTGCTGCTGGCGCTGAGTCTGACCTTGACCCTGGTTGCGATTCCCGCGACCCTGTCGCCGGGAGTTATTCCGGCCGCCACCGAAATCGCGTCTCTTTCCTCCCCGACCACCACCTTGTTCATTCTCACCGCGACCACGCTTGCGCGACTTCTCCTCCGGAAGTGCCTCATCCAGCTTCTTCACCCCAACCTCGGTTGTGGGGGCCGCGACGGCAGCTGAGCCGAACCGCTTCGCCCGTTCCAGCTGCTTCTCTGCAGCATCAATGGCAGCCTTGGACTCCTCCGTGATTCCAAACTTCTCCGCCCGAGCCTTACGCTTCTTCAACTCCTCCTCCATCTCCGTAATTGGAAGGCCCGCAGCGAAGTTCGGGGCCGGCTTCTGCTCGGCCTCTTCTGTAGTAGCGGTAGCGGCAGCCTCCGTGGCAGCCTCCGGGTTCACCTCCGCAGAAGCAGCAGCACCCTCCGATTCAACCTTAAGGTCGTTTGCGGTAGCAGGATCAGTGTCTAGCTTCTGGTTGGGTACAGCAACAGGGTTGGGCACTTCCCCCTTTCCACCGGCCGCGATGGCAGCAGCCCCAGCCTCTGTGGAGCTCTTCGCAGCGGCCTCCGTGGCAGGGACTTCGTCATCCTCCCAATCGATGACATCATCCGCTGCTGCTGGAGCTGCAGATTCGGTTGTCGTTTTCGTAGCCTCAGCGGCCTTGTTATCATCCTCCTGGAGGCGAGCCACCATTTCCGCCTTCTTGCCGTTATGCGGAAGATTCCGAGACTTGAGGATTTCGACCAGCTCTGCGTTGGTCTTCTTGCCGTAATCGGTCGTCATGGTGTATAGCGGGTATGCGATGTACTAAGTCAATTGACCGTGTGGAGAGAGACAGTGGATAATAGCAGGCGCAGGACGTTGACGACGTATGTGAGCGGATGTGGTATTCCAATTCGAATCGACTTGGCGCTTTTAGGACCCGCTGAGGTGGTCAATTCCGCTTGGAGTTCTAAATGTGCGCTTTGCTGAGATGATGAACGCGCAGCGTTAACGATGGAGGTCTTAGAGAGCGATGAGATAGATGGCAGGAGAGGTTTAAAAAGAGCGCAGCTGGTTGGGGGACGTGTTTGAGACGGGAGGCGACTGTTTGGCGGCGGTTTGCCCGTTCCGGAAGAGCTATCACGTGTATAGCTGACGTAAGGGCCATTGCTCCTTCATCCAGAACTATACCGAACAGAACACCTGCTAATCTTGAATTGAAGTTTTAGGGACTGATGACCTGACGGATGTCTCAATCATTCGCATGTTGGCTCCTTAGAAGCTCGAGTGAACCATTTGGCAGTTGAAGTAGAGTTTCTATGCGGCCAATGCGCAGCTACTGTATGCCGAACTATGACATGGCAGGCGAGAGACATCGGCAGCGCCAGCTTTTGCACCGCCTCCACGCAGACAGTGCAACTCATTTCTGGCAAGCCAGCGTTAGATTTACTGTTATACGAAAGCTGAATTACTTGATACCTGGACTTGTTCTTCAATATTGACAACGAAGTGACCAAGAGTTGTCTGTTAATACTGGAATCAAACAGCTCTTCTTATACTCATGCTCATGTTGTGATTACTGTCAGTAATATTTGGCTGCAGGTTTTGAGATGACAGTCTCGGGTCTGTAGAATAGCTTGAGGCTTGATATATTGTTCGCTCCGATCATGCTTGAATGTAGTTTACGAGAATCACTTGAGTGGTTAGAGAATTTACAAATATATATATTTATACTCTTTTTGGCTTCAGATCCGAAGTACTTTAACGATGACTCCTATCGGCCCGAGACCAACACATACGGACGTGTAGCATTCAAAAGAACCGCCTTAAATATCTCAACAGCACTATCAATGTTAAATTATTCTGTCCTTGCCAGGTCGACATTTCAGCTGTTGACCGATCTGGCTTAATCCATCTACACGTGACATTGCTGTTAGTCAGCAGTCTAGTCCCGCCGCCGAACTTCACCTGATGTTCTCTGATATTTTCGCCTCAAGGACGTCACTTCCCTTCACCATCAAGCTTGCTGTCATCGTTCTGTCCGATCCGGATGTAGCTGCCTTGACCCCTATCTGGGAGTGTCTGTCAAAAATCTCACACTTGGGATCTCCATAGCTGCCAACATGTCTGACGGTATGATATTTCTCTTCCCCCCCCTCTCTCTCAAACCGCCGTTGTCCTCCGGCCCTGACTGACCGCCCCTTTTCTAGCTGACTTTGAAGCCGTTCGTCGGCTCCAAGCTGAGCGCAATGCTGCTGCAGCTGGAAGTAAAGGTTCTAGGACCTTTGATCCGTCTAGCCAGCGCACTGACAACTCGACCAAGGCCTCCCTGACTGAATCCTTCGACACGACCCTCTACGAACGCGAAGGCGCCGACAAGTTTGCGGGATATGATACCTCGATTGCCGTCAATGGCGACGATGAGGAGATGGAGGACGCGGACGCGGGCCACCGCCTGGTGGGCCAGTACACTGCCACCCGGAGCCAGATCGACGAGTTCGCCCACGGCAACGGGGTGGAAGAGGAGGACATCCTTCTTGGGCGCGAGAAGGCAGCTAGGATCGCCGACCGCGAGACAGACTACCAGAAGCGCCGCTTCAACCGCGGCCCGCTGACTCCCACGCGCGCTGATCCGTTCGCTGCGAACACTCACGCCAATGTAGAGGGGGAGGGGGAGGAGGGCCAGACTTACCGTGAAGTCATGGCCATGCGGGAACTTGAGAAAGAAGAAGAACGTGTCCAGAAGCTGATCGCAGAAAAGCAGGCCCGTGGAGAGAACGATGTCACCGAGCACGAGGCTACGCTGAAGTTGGAAGACAAAGAGAACGCCGACGCCGGCTCCACGGTGGCCGTCGCCTCGGGTCGCAAGCGCAAACAGCGGTGGGATGTAGCTTCGGAGCCGGCTCCTGAGGAGGAAGAGGCTCCCAAGCCCGCTGAAGCCGCCGACACTAAGGCGAAGAGGTCCCGTTGGGATCAGACGCCCGCCCCGGTTGCCCCCGGCGCTGCCGAGGATGCCCCCAAGCGTCGCTCCCGATGGGATCAAGCACCAGCACTTACAGCCGCGACCCCGGTCGGCAACCAAGGGCTTGCCACCCCCATGCATCCCTCCCAAGTAGGTGCACCTTTGATTCCAACTAGCTTTGGAACTGATATCTCTGGGCGCAATGCTCCCTTGTCGGACGAAGAGCTTGATATGATGTTGCCGTCGGAGGGCTACAAGATCCTCGACCCTCCTCCAGGATATGCCCCGATCCGGAACCCTGCGAGGAAGCTCATGGCTACTCCAGCACCCATGGCCAGCTCCACTGGTGTTGGTGGCTTCATGATGCAGGAGCCTGAAAGTGCTCGTGCGCTGGGCAAACAGCTTCCAACTGAGATTCCCGGCGTCGGAGACCTCCAATTCTTCAAGCCTGAGGACATGGCCTACTTTGGCAAACTCATGGAAGGAGGTGACGAGAGCTCAATGACAGTCGAGGAGATGAAGGAACGGAAGATCATGCGACTCTTGCTAAAGGTCAAGAACGGCACGCCGCCGATGAGAAAGACAGCCCTGCGTCAGCTCACGGACAACGCACGGCAATTCGGCGCGGGGCCTCTGTTCAACCAGATCCTTCCCCTTCTCATGGAGAAGTCTCTTGAAGACCAGGAGCGCCATCTGTTGGTGAAGGTCATTGACCGTGTTCTCTACAAGTTGGATGATCTCGTTCGTCCCTATGTTCACAAGATCCTTGTGGTTATTGAGCCCTTGCTTATCGACCAAGACTACTACGCCCGTGTTGAGGGTCGAGAAATCATTTCGAACTTGGCGAAGGCCGCTGGTCTAGCCACCATGATCAGTACCATGCGACCGGATATCGACCACGTCGATGAATATGTCCGGAACACGACTGCCCGAGCCTTCGCGGTTGTCGCTTCTGCTCTTGGAATTCCTGCTCTTCTCCCATTCCTTCGTGCTGTATGCCGGAGTAAGAAGTCGTGGCAGGCTAGACACACAGGTGTCAAGATTGTTCAACAAATTCCTATTCTCATGGGCTGCGCCATCCTGCCTCACCTCAAGGGACTGGTAGACTGTATCGCGGACAACCTTAGTGATGAGCAAGCTAAGGTGCGAACGGTCACTGCGCTGGCCGTCGCGGCTTTGGCTGAAGCTGCCAACCCTTATGGTATCGAGAGCTTCGATGAGATTCTCAACCCTCTGTGGACCGGCGCCCGGAAGCAGCGTGGTAAAGGTCTGGCTGCGTTCCTCAAAGCTGTCGGCTACATCATTCCCCTCATGGACGAAGAATATGCCAACTACTATACCAGCCAGATCATGGAGATTCTGCTCCGCGAGTTCGGATCCCCAGATGAAGAGATGAAGAAGGTCGTTCTGAAGGTGGTGTCACAGTGTGCTAGCACGGATGGTGTGACAGCCAGTTACCTCAAAGAGCATGTTCTCACAGACTTTTTCAAAAGTTTCTGGGTGAGGCGTATGGCTTTGGATAGGAGGAATTATCGTCAGGTGGTGGACACGACGGTGGACCTTGGACAGAAGGTGGGAGTGGGTGAGATCCTCGAGCGCGTCGTAAACAATCTCAAGGATGAGAGTGAACCCTATCGGAAGATGACTGTGGAGACCGTGGAGAAGCTTATCGCAGCCCTCGGCGCCGCGGATATCTCCGAGAGACTGGAGGAAAGACTGATTGATGGTGTCCTGTATGCTTTCCAGGAGCAAAGCATTGAGGATATTGTCATCCTGAACGGCTTCGGTACGGTGGTCAACGCCCTTGGCACTCGTTGCAAGCCTTATCTTCCCCAGATTGTCAGTACCATTCTCTGGCGGTTGAACAACAAGTCGGCCACGGTTCGGCAGCAGGCTGCGGACCTCATCTCCCGCATTGCCATGGTTATGAAGCAGTGTGGTGAGGACGCGTTGATGGGCAAGCTTGGTATTGTGCTTTACGAGTACTTGGGTGAGGAGTATCCCGAAGTGCTCGGTTCCATCCTGGGAGCCCTCCGATCTATCGTCACCGTGGTTGGTATCAATCAGATGCAACCGCCGATCAGAGACCTGCTCCCTCGCCTCACGCCTATCCTGCGTAACCGTCACGAAAAGGTCCAGGAGAACACCATCGATCTGGTTGGTCGTATCGCCGACCGTGGCCCCGAATCCGTCAACGCCAGGGAGTGGATGCGTATCTGTTTTGAGCTCCTGGACATGTTGAAGGCCCACAAGAAGGGCATCCGTCGTGCCGCCAACAACACGTTCGGTTTCATCGCCAAGGCCATTGGTCCCCAGGATGTGCTGGCCACGCTGCTCAACAACCTGCGTGTCCAGGAACGTCAATCACGTGTCTGTACCGCTGTTGCCATCGGTATCGTGGCCGAAACCTGCGCGCCGTTCACCGTGCTCCCCGCCCTGATGAACGAGTACCGGGTGCCCGAGCTGAACGTGCAGAACGGTGTCCTCAAGGCTATGTCCTTCCTGTTCGAATACATCGGCGAGATGGCCAAGGACTACGTCTACGCAGTCACGCCGCTCCTCGAGGACGCCCTGATCGACCGCGACCAGGTGCACCGTCAGACGGCCGCCAGCGTGGTGAAGCACATCGCGCTGGGCGTCGTGGGTCTCGGATGCGAAGACGCCATGGTCCACCTCCTGAACCTGGTCTTCCCCAACATCTTCGAGACCAGCCCGCACGTCATCGACCGGGTCATCGAGGCCATCGACGCCATCCGCATGGCCGTCGGCACGGGAACCGTCATGAACTACGTCTGGGCCGGCCTGTTCCACCCTGCCCGCAAGGTCCGCGTCCCCTACTGGCGCCTCTACAACGACGCGTATGTGCAGAGCGCAGATGCAATGATCCCATACTACCCCAATCTCGAAGATGACGGCTTGGATCGCTCCGAATTGTCCATTATCGTTTGATTTGATTCCCCCCCTCCCCGTCAAATCTCAACCCTTTCTTTTTTTCATCGTGGTTCATGTATGTAAACAATCTGGTACTAGCTACGTATTACTGGGCTACTTTTTCATCATCATTTCCATCATCTCACTTTCACCTGTCAGCATCAATCATATCACACTGGGGACCTGTTCACTATTACGGTGTTTTGCCGAGGCTGGATTTGGCGTGTTTTATTTTTCTGTTTTTTATCGATTCTTTTATGTGGGAGAAATCAGTCCAATGGCATTTTTCAACGTTCAAGTTCAATGGTCAGAAGTGTAGTATCTGGAACCGGGGAACTCTCTGGCTTAGCCTTCTACGTAATGTCTTCTTTTCGATGTGGAACCATCGGGCTGTATCGATCTCTTTCCTACTTCTCCTGCTCCGAATGTGGGAGTTTACCCTTTGTCTAGTCCGGACATCGCACGTCTCTGGCGAAGACTATACGGTCCTGCGGCTGACAAGATTGCTGGAAAATGATGATACTTAGCTTGCCAGGGATCATCAGGCTGACTTCGCAGGGAGAATGATACACTGTAGATTAAGGAGGAACAATAGGAGAATGAACGAGTGGGTGAAGTATATTATCCTATCCTATCCTATCCTATCCTATCCTATCCTATCCTGTCATGTGAATTCCACAACCGTCACCTTTCACTTCTCATTCATTCTCCACTGAGATCATCCCTCATCACGCCAGGCGCCCCGTCTCAATCGCCGCCTCCATCATGCGATCCCCATTCACGATGCCCGTCGAGCAGATGATGATCCGGCGCCGGGACGCCTCCTGGGCGGCGATGAACCGCAGGGCGGCGATCTCGGTGAACGTGATGCCGCCCAGGAAGAAGACATAGACCGTCTTGATGGCCGGGGCGCCGCTGATGGTCTGGCGGGCGCGCACGGCCTTGTCGTCGCCCTTCTGCACGAGGCTGAACGTCGCGCCGCGGGCGCTCTTGACCACGTCCTCGAAGCCCAGCCAGCCCGGCGAGGAGGTGGTCGCGCTGGCGGGGGCCGGGGCCTGGGTTGGGGCGGCCACGGGCCCACCGCGCGCCAGGGAGAGGATGTAGGGTTTCTGCAGGACGCACTGCACCAGGCGGATGCTCAGCGGGGCGAAGCCGCTGTAGACGTAGGCGATGTCGTTGGGGTCCTTTTCGCTGACTTCCTCGACGACGAGGCGCAGGGTTTTGCGGAGGGTGTTGTAGTTGGTGCGCGGGCTTGTGCTGTGTTGGTGGTGGTGGGGGGAACCTCCTGTGGCGGCGGCAGTGGTGGTGGTAGTGGGAAGGAGGAGGGAGGTGGGGTTGGTAGGGGCGCGGGGCTGAAGGAGTTGCATCTTCTCGAGGGCGCAGAAGGTCAGGATGTGCTGGTGGCCGTAGGCTTGGACGATCTGGCGCTTGAAATTCTCGAGGTCCCGCGGCCGCAGACCGCCGGACATGCAGGATTCGAGGCACAGGAGGCGCAGGACGGCGGGCAGGGCGACGTCGCGGGCGATGAGCTCCTCCACCGCGTCGTGGTGGTAGGTCGGGTCGGAGCCTGCGGCGTAGTTCTGCTGCACTTCCAGGAGCTTGCGGAAGATGTCGGCGCGGGTGGTGCGCATGATCTCCTCGGCGAGGTTGGTGTGCACCCGCAGGCTCTGGTGCTCGAGCTGGTAGGAGGGGAGTTTGTTGACGAACTCGCGCAGCTCCGTCGTGGTCTTGGCCGAGTGGCGGCTTTCATAGTCGCTCTCGAGGCGCCGCGCGACTTTGTTGAGGATGTCGCCGACAATGGCGAAGTTGGCGTCCCGCAGTTGGCTGAAGAGCTGATCTGATGAGTCAAGTTGGATCTTGCGCTTCTGGTGCTGCTTGGAGGACGAGGGCTGTTGCGGGCCTTTGGAGGATTCCTGCGCTTGCGGAACAGTAGCCGCCCCGCCGATGATAGAGGTGTCGATATCGGCTTGGTTGTTCTTGATGCCGACTGTCTCGTCGATGAGGCCTTCGTAGGTCAGTTGAGTGAGGAGCGGGGTGCCAAAGTCGACTTCGCGGTCGATGATGATGAGGCTCTCTGTGCTTGCACTGGGCAATAGACCGCGGGCTGACACTCCGGCGAGCCCGGAGCTCTCTTCAGCGTCCAGCTCCTTTCTCATTCGGAGAAGCAGGTCGGCCAGTCGTCTTGCATGGTCACCCTTGCCGATAATCCGAGGAAAGTAACCGTGCCTCTGCTGAATGTCCATCAGGGCCTTCGCGGAGTGGAAGATGCATCCTGGATCTTTGTGCTACATGGATGTTGGTTACTTGCGTTTTGAGGAACATGCTGCACCGGGCAAGCTTACCAGGTAGAGATCACTAAAGGCGTCCTCCATCTCCAGAGACAGGACATCCTGTTCCAGCGGCATGAAATATAGCGGGAATTCGGCGATGTTCACGTCTCCGATTATGCCCGCTTCCTCGAGGATTGTGTTGCTAACAAGTGTCCGTCTTGGAACCCAGAAAATAGAGATCTCATGTTCAATGCTGCCATTGCGCTGGAGACGCTTGACCTGTTCTAGAGGCATGTTAGCTCATACTGATGACCTTCAATCAGACAAGTAAGAGAGAGAAAGCCTATGAATGAGCTGGTATCTTCAAAACTGGTTGATATTGGGAGCGCGTGACTGGCTACGTAGAGTAGAGGGGAGTCTGCGCGCTTTACAGTCTGTCCCAAGCAAGACTCTCCTGGGTAGAAGGAGAGATATCCAGCTTATCTTACGAAGAAGGCGTGCTGAGGGTGGTAAACAGGAAGGAATCGACGTACCTGCCACAGCCCGCACTTGAGCAAGCTTCTCAGCGTTCGCTAAGAAGACAACATTGCGTTGAGAAGAGTCCACATTGCCATTTTCCAGGAGGAAGACGCGATCTACACCGTACTCTTGGAGCAAAGAGAACTTGACGAACAGTCCGACTGGACCAGCCAGGTCTTGACTGACGATGAGGTTCTTCTTACCGCGTACCTGCACCGAAGGATTCAGCTGATGTACTGGGGCGACCAGAGGTAGAAGCAAGCCTTACTCACGCCTTCGAGGAGGGTCAACAGATCCCTACGCGCCTTGTCCTTGAAGTAGTCTGCATCAGACCCCGGATACGGCGCCATGACTGCCAATGAGCATCACTGGAAAGGAGGAAATTCGTTAAGATCGTTAAGATGGTCAAGTTGGTTAATTGGTTAGTTGGTTCAGATGATTCAGTCGGAGATACGCGCGCGGACGTTTCCGGCGGGCGATGGTTTGGCTTGGTTGGTTTGGCTTGGTTGGTTTGGTTGGTTTGGAAGGAGGCTTGGAAGGGTCCAGCCACTGCACTAACCATTGTAGGCTTAGTGGAAACACAGCCTGTCACAGCTCTCTGGTACCGAGACCGTCATAACAGCCTTCATTCTTCTAAATAGCAGCCATCACCGATGTAATGAGATTACCCTCCGCCTTTCCCCCCCCCTCCACCCCCCCATTCCGATCATTCCAATTATAGTGCCTGAGGCGTTTGCTCCCCTGAACGTTGCCTGCCTGTCTTTCGCCCCTCTTACATCCACCTATCTCCTTTTCTTCTTTAACCTAATTATCCCTCTTACTCTACCATTATCTGTCCTTCTTGAGAAATTGGATTCTACCACCCGCTGGTCGTTCCGACAAATTGACATTCTTACCCTAAAACCCACTCGACCACAGATCAACCGCCATGGGCAGGTTCGGCTTCAAAAAGTCCGGGGACGAGGACGATTCCTCCAACCGCCTGGCGCTGTTCGGCTCCCGATCGAAGAGCAAGAGCCCAGCACCTCCGGCCAACCCCTATGCCAAACCCATCCCCACCGATCCCTACACGAAAGCCAAGATCCAAGCTGGCGTCGCCCCTCTTCCAGCTGGGGAGCAACCCGCCGCTCCGGCTCCTGGTCCCGCCAGCATCCCCGGAGACAATAAACAAGGCTATGCGCCGAACCGATATGGAAACCAGGGTGGATATGGATCGGATCGCTTCGGGGGCAGCGCCAACAGTGGAGTGTCGCCAGCAGCCTCCCGGTACGGCCCCGGTGGCTACGGAGGGCTAGGCAGCACCGATCCCAACGACTCCGCCGCCGCGGATGCCAACAGAGATGCACTTTTCGGAGGAGCAAGGGAACGAGCAGAGCAGCAGCAGCCTCAGGCCGGCGGTCCCCCGCCGCCTTACTCGGAGGGCGGTGCGGCCTACGGCGGCGGCAGTAACGACTACAACACATCGACCTACCAGGAACGGCATCTGACCGCGGAGGAAGAGGAGGAGGAGGAGATCCAGACCATCAAGCAGGACATCCGCTTCATCAAGCAGGGGGACGTGGCTTCGACCCGCAACGCGCTCCGCATTGCGGCGCAGGCGGAGGAGACCGGTCGGGAGACGCTGGCTCGGTTGGGCGCGCAGGGCGAACGCATCCATGATGCGGAGCGGAGCTTGGACGTGGCGACCATCGAGGGTCGGATTGCCGAGGAGAAGGCCAAGGAGCTCAAGACCCTCAACAAGAGCATGTTCGCGGTGCACGTCTCCAACCCCTTCACCAGTGCCCGGCGGCGGCGCGAGCGCGACGAGCGGATCCTGGACACCCACCGACAGGAGCGGGAGACCCGCGACGGCACGCGGAACGAGGCCTTCAAGACCAACCAGCGGATGGAGCGCACATTCCGGGAGATCGACCGCGAGGCGAGCAAGCAGACCACGCGGGGCCGGACCAACGTCGCCGACCGTGCCAAGTATCAGTTCGAGGCGGATAGTGAGGACGAGGCGATGGAGAACGAGATCGAGCAGAACCTGGACCTGCTTGGCGGTGCCGCAAGCCGTCTGAACGGTCTCGCCAAAGCCACGGGTCGGGAGCTGGACGAGCAGAACCGTCACTTGGAACGTATCACGGGCAAGGTAAGAATCTCTGGCTTATGGATCCTGAACATGAGGCTAACAACCCTTCTAGAGCGACTTTGTCGACGAGCAAATCGCCATGAACCGTGCCAAGCTGGACCGGATCCGTTAGACATACCCCATAATAAACGTTTTGTTGACTGCCTGGCGCTGTCGCACTTTTCCCTTTGCCAAATGCACATATCCCATCTGCTCGGCGTTCCTAGGTATACTACATTCGTACTTGATGAGACACTACAGTTGATATTATTAAAATACTGCAGAATCTTGCTTGGCGGGAGGAAGTAATTGCAATCCAATAGAATTCTGTGCTTTGCTAGCAGCCTGGTGCCTATCCTCCCAGCTTTTGCAGAGTAAGAACGACTATTCTTAACGCTGTAGCTCAGCCATACATACTGTACACACGCACTGTACATACACCACTACACCGACCATTTCTCATGCAACCCCATAGTTGCAAAATCTCAAACAACCCCAGCACGCCCCGAACTGGGCACTCCCGACCCTGTCCCGAATATCCCTCATTTAATCAATCTTATACACAAGCCCTCACTCGACGCGTCAACCAAGTAATCTCAATCTGAAACACTACCCACCACCTGCGAGATTTAATCTTAATCCGAGGAATGTTCTGCGTCCGCTCAATACACATAGTATATTATATCGAAGACAGTCCAGTCCCACTTTCATATTCCCACATGTTTCATTCTCTAATCCAGCGCCCCCAATCACCAACACAGATCGGAGGATTTTTTTGGATCTCCCAACGGTTTCCGACTTACATAGTATAAGTGCTCTCCACACCTGCCAATTTTGATGTTAGTCTAACCGTTTCTCGATCTCAGATTTGTAGGTATATTTTCTCTTGCACTTTAAGACACGTAGTAATATTAACGCTAAAACCCAGACTACGTCAGCTTCTTTCGGGCGGACGAATACTTCAGGATGGTTAGTTAACTTGTGTCTTAGAACAATAACGGCTCGCGCGTCTGGACGGTGTGTTCTGTGTAGACCGTAGCCCGTGTCTCAGATGCCATATTGTCAAAGTCTGTCAGAGGATGTGCCTTTCTATCTGGATCTGTGGTTGGGATTGTGCCCGACGGGCAAAGGGGTAAGCTTCTCTTGACTCGGGGTGGAAATCAAACAGACACACAGTTTTCGGCTTTGGATGAAGCAGATATCCGTCTCGAGGGTTGACAATGCCATGCGAGTTCATGAATGCTCTCTGGTTAGTTCGGGGACGCGGGAATGGTAAGTGTCTAGATGTATTTACTAGTGGCTCGGTTAGGGTGATGTGAAGTTTGTCTTGGTGGAGGATGTGTAGATGGGCTTAGGCCTCTCCTTTCTCGAAGGTTCTTGCAATCATAGTATACCTGTGGTAAAGGCCTTGTTTGCGGTCTCCTCCATATATTGTTTGTGTTTGTATGTGTAGATAATCCGTCTGGGTGTGATATAGGTGTAAAGTGAACAATGGTGCAGCGAAGCACCTCGTTGAGTCCTGGGGACAGATGGGAAAGACATTGAGTGGCGTTTGATGGACTCTCGAGGTCTCCTTCGTAGCTGTAGCTTGGAGTAGTGTGTCTTTGTGGTTGAGTGCTTGTGAGGAAATTTGTCCTGTTTCTGGTAAAAGGTATTAGATTTGTGCTGGTGTTGGTTGTCTGCTACCCCAATGCAATCGGTCGAGCGAGGTGAGAATCGCTAAAGACAAGCGGGTTCATGATTAAGGAGGATATTTCAATCTTCCTTTCTCATAAGGTAAAAGAGGAAAAAGACTAGATGATGGTGTGGCGTCCTGATACTTGGCGACCTTCCAGGCGCTTAGCAGTATATTTGTCTCGATAAGAGCGAGCATGAACCAACCCGACGCCAGCTTTGAGATACCCAAGAACCTTAAAGAGATATCCAGCAAGTAGGAACATTCTGCCTGGCCAACTTGGCTCACCAGGAGTGCATGTTCTGCGGTGCGGCGCTTAGTCGAAACCTTGCGGGTTCTATCTCCGTCTCATTAGGCCTTGGCCTCGCTTCTATACCATATCATGCACTCGACTCGCCAGGCTCTCGCCATTGCCTTCTATTGTGGCACAGTTGAGGGCGTGTTGGAGTTATTGATAACGAGCTGTGCCCTGCTGAAGGATCAGTGGCAGTGATGTGGCATCTTTGGTAGTTGTAGATGTTGGATAACTTCACCATCCTCATGCCTTGGGCTTCGCCGCAACATGTCTATATTTGGCGAGGCATACTTAGGATGCCAACCTGGCACGGAGATGCTGCTCTGCTGCAGGGACAAGAGAGGGGCAGAGGTCAGCTGCTGTGGGAGGTGAACATTGGCACATTCACTGTAGAGGAAGTGACCATAGCATAATAAGAGTAACACCCTCCTGGCAATTGTCTGATATCATCTCAACTCATCTCATCTCTCAGGTCTCATCATCTCTACCACCCGAAAGTCCCTCTACACCTCCCTCTACATCCCACACTCAACTCAAGACATCATCATCCAGAAGACAAAACCACCAAGATGCGCCTCCTCGAGTCCCTCCTCAAGACCCTCCTCATCCTCCTCAGCATCCTTGGCTTCACCACCGCAGTCCCCTTCTCCTCCTCTCGCACCACCGAAACAGAAACCGAACTCGAACTTCACCCACCGAACGCCGTCCACCTAGCAACCAGCTTCATCTCCCTCTCCCACGCCCTCTCCTCGCTGCGCCTAACCAAGTGCCCCCTCGACGTGGTCTCTATCAACCAAACCACCAGCAAACGCTCAGCAGGAATCCCCAAACGAGGACACGAGGAAGCAGCAGCAGCAGCACCGCACCTCAGTCCCCCCTCCGACCACCTCTCCCTCAAATTCATCGCCCTCGGCCGCGGCACGCAGAACTACACCTGCCCGACCAACTCAAAGGACAACACCCCCAAGAATGCCTCTGCAACCCCCATCGCCATCGGCGCCGTCGCCACGCTCTACGACATCTCCTGCCTCGCCGCAACCCCGAAGGACCATGCGCTGCGATTCCTCCACGCCCTCCCAGGATTCACCCGGGCCATCCCGCAGGAAGTCCTAGCCTTCTATGCCGTGATGCTGTCCCAGTCCGCAATCATCGGGGAGCATTACTTCTCACCCTCCCAATCTTCTTCCACCACCTCGACCACCGCAGCCGCAGCAATGCCCGTCTTCGATCTCCGCCCCGCGACCTTCGGAAAACAAGGCGGAAGATACGAGTCCAACTGGGTCAAGGCCAAGAAGGTGGAGAGTGTAGATGCCCCTGGTAGTGCCCCTGGTAGTGGAGGTGATGATGTGCCCTGGTTGAAGATGGTTGCGGTGGAGGGATCTGGTATCAAGGTTCGTTCTTCTTCTTCTTCCTTCCTTGCTCATGCAACCCCAAAAACGAATGGGTTGTATAGGTGACAGACGATATGCTTATTAGACGAATGCCCCTCTCACAGGAGATATACCGTGTCCACACGGCAGGAGGGATGAGTCCGGCGACTTGCGCGGCGCACGAGGGGGAGTTTGGGGTGGAGTATGCGGCGGAGTATTGGTTTTATGGATGAGGTGTTCCCAGTTCTGTGGTTTGATTTGAACTGGTTCCATCAGGAATGCCGGTTCACATGCATGGGGTATGGTGGATTTGAATGGTGAAACGAGGGATATGATGCGATGATGAATGATGAGTGCGCCTGTTTACTGGGATTTGAGATGGGAGAATACCGTGCTATCATCATGGATTTGTCCATACCTGCTGGTCCGTAATCATGATATCGAGATAATGGGACCAGTTCCAAGCGATGGGCCTTCTACAACGTTCTTTCTTCGATCAGGAGTTGATGCCATGCATTGAATAGGTACATGCAAGACTTGCATCCCAGTCACAAGGCAGTTGAGTGGTAGATGCGTATACTCAGTTGAATGTCGCTGACACACACTGCCTGTCCGTGCCGCAGATATCAGGCAATGTGCAGAAGTATCGTAAGCAGGGTTGAATATCCATCCTCATACGCAGAATAATCAGGAAAGGCCGTGAGTGGGAGCTCTAGGGTCAGAGGTGTTGAAAGTGATCATCTAACAAGAACTCGATCATTGCACCTTCAGCCTAGAAAGCACCCTAAGGCCCCTGATATAGAAGAGATTCTAGGCAGCCCTTGATTATATCTCTGTGACTGGATATCCAATCCATACTACTGCCTGTCCAATCCTCCTTCAATGCAAGTGCGTTCGTGCCAACTCCAAATGTCAAAAGCAAACAGCCTATATTTGCAGGAGTCCAAATTTACGCGCAGTGAATGTTAGGGATCTAGTAAGTTGGAGCTACCTGTGTGGCAAGGGTGCCCTGCCCTTAAGTCTATACTCCAGCTGGCTCTGGCTCTGGCTCTGACTCTGGCTCCGGCTCTGGCTATGGCTCTGGCTCTGGCGTTCACTAGCCATATCATATACAAAAGGCCATCCACTTACGAAGAGAATGTAAGGGCAGGGTTTCAGTTATCTGTCTGGCCACCCATTGATAACTGCAGCAGAAAGTGTGGTTGCACTCCAAGTCATTCTTCCGTTCGTCCTTCCTGTTGTCAACCCATGTGTAAGACATTATTCCTTTACATGGAGGATCAATGCTCATAGAAGGGTACTGCACAAATAATAAATATCTCGACTGGCTCTCGCCTGGCGAATAAGACATGAACCTAGATAACTAATGTAATCTCCTATCTCGGTGTGTTTGAGTTGATAAAACCTCCATCTACATGCGATATCTACAATATACAAGCGAGTATACAAGTACTGGTATATCTTATCGATAAGCCTCCCGACTAGAATGACTTAAGAGAACAACCCTATTGTCCGGCATGGTCCATGGATACACAGCCAGCACCCCCAGCACAATTGACCCATCCCGTCCATCACGATCATTTCGCACCGTACAGTATCACGCAAAACCCCGAGTCCAACTCCGTAGGTACTACACCTTGACTACCAACCCTACTCCAACCCCTAACCAAAGATCCAAAATAGCAACAACAGCAACGATGATGATGATGATGATGATGATGAGAACCATCCAAGCGGATGAGGTAATAATTGTACAGTAGTAATTGTCTTAGCGAGAAAAGCGCAACAGCAGTGACTTCATTCCCTAATTGCTTCAAAAGCCGCGTAAGCCGGACTCCCCCCATTGTCAATGTGAGTGGTTCTTGGCGTGCGTCGCAACGGTCGGTTGTGATTCGATGTAAAAAGTCAAGTGGAGAATGGAAGAGGGCCCCCCGCCCCCCAGGTTCCCGAGTTCAAGAAAAAAAGTTTCCGTTTTACACACGTACATCTACTTTGGGATATGTATACTTAGAAACTTGGTATGCGGGTTGTCTCATGTAGTATACTACCGTCGTGGTGGTGGAATACCTGGTTGCCACTGTCTTTGCTGGGTTACTTATTTGGTTAAAAGGGGGAGGAGTTGGAAGCGGGAGGGGTGGGTGTGGTTGGGGTTTTTCCGTGGGTTGGGATGCAGGTATTGATTGTGTCTATGAGTATCGAAATCTACTCATTTTGTGTATAAAAAAAGGGACTTGAGGTGGTGGTGGTGGTGGATGGAGTAGGATCGATGAGTTGCTCGGGGGCTTGTTGATGATGATATTCAGTCGCATTATACAATGAATACACGCACATTGCAGACTTAGTATGTGCTATGCTGATTATAGCTAGACGTACCTTACCACATTATCCCGAGGGAAACCCCTTGAAGATCAACCCCAAGCTCCAACGTCTATACACAATAACTACCAAGCATTAGGCTCGGAAGAATAAATGTGCAACTACCATAGCACCCAGATGAAACACCACGAATGTCGTGCTCGCGATCCTGAGGGACTTCGCAAGCAGCATTACGACGCTCAATCTCAACCGCCGCGGGCGATGAGCTCTGACCCGAGGGACATGTGAAGGAAGGAAGGACGTCCCAGGAAGAAAAGGTCCAGATGGTAAAAGGTGGTAGGTATCCCGAACTTCCAATGCGTTGTTGTTGTCGCTGTACTAATTATAATTGGATATATGGTTGATCCCTGTCACCCAGTACGGTTTGTCTGTATACTCGACGAAAGAGGGGTGGTGGATCTGAGACTCGGAAATGCAGGGAAGCCCATCTACCTCCCTTATCTGGACTAAATCGTTCAGATCGTTCATTTAGTTCCCGTGTCTTGTCTTCTTCTCCTCTGTGCATGTCCAACACGCGGGACGGGGGGGAGAGAACTTATGACGTTGCGTAGGTAGCAGTAGCTTCCTATTTCCCAGCGAGGACTAAATGCAGGGTCTACCAGAATAAGAGAATGAGGAATATAATTAGATTGTCGAGAGAGGAGTATACCCGTTCTTTCGCCTTCAGATAGATTGCTTTCGACGCATTGATCCAGCGCTAGTGATTTCCGAGTAAGTACTTTAAGTTAAGTGACGTGAGTAAGTAAGTGAGAGTGGGTGAGTGGTGAGAGCGTTAGCTTGTGAATCTCAACTGATTCTACTGGACTGAACTCAACTCCGATCGGATCTACCATCCCACCGTCGCCTAAGCAAGCCACGCAATCAACACACAACCAACCATCAGATAACACCTCCAATCCCTGATGCTGATGCTGATGCTGCTGCTGCTGCTGATGATGTAGTGAGCAGAGAACAATGACCAACTGTAAACCAAATCATCAAATAAGCTGACATATGCCAAGGCCGGCCCATCTCCACTTTCTGCACACTAGGTTTGTTTTCCCGCCCACCGGAGTTCTCACGGGAGTCCTCGAGTCCTGAGGCTTGCCGTCGCAGGAAGCTTGGTACTCGAGCGGTGGTTTGGTTTTTCAGGGTCCTTGGTTCCGCGGCTTGCGGCCGTTCCTGACTGGGTTGGCCATGTCTTACTTTTGTCTGTCTCAGGATAGAACATGCGGTCGTCAACCTTGAAGACTTACGCGTCACAAGAGAAGGGTGGTGATGATGATGATGATGATGGTGGCCAGTGAGCACGGAGTAGTCAGGCCCTGAATTGCCGGACGGAAAACTGACTGACGCACAGACACACAGCAACAGAAAGAAAAGAGAGAGCTGAAGAGTGAACCTGCCAGGGATGTTTGGGCTTGGCTTGGAAGTCTTGGTCAACCTGTCCTGTCCTTTTCCCTTTTCCCTTCTCCCCCACTATTCTCCTCTAGTCCCCTGACGGTCTCTCAGTCCATCTCACGCCAGAGGATCAGTAGATTCTCAGCACAACAAACAGTCTGGACTCTACACAGTAGACTGTAGATGAGTGAGAGGGTGGGAAAAAATTGACCTGCCTATTCTAGGCCTCCCTCGATTATTCAGCCCCTTTCAAAAATCGCGAACTATTGTAACACTACGGAGTACACTACGAGGGGGGGAATGGAGGTGGAATTTCTCATAGTGACCTCTCGCTCTCGCTCTCGCTCTCCCAGCAACCTGAACTAGAAAAGAGCCAAGTGGTGGTGCGACCTTTTCAGTTGCCTCGTCTCCTCTCTCTTTCCTCCCCCCTTAAAGTGTGATACTACCTTCCTATACCTTACAAGTGTAGAAGCCAGTCTTTCAGGAAGAATCATCTGCCTGTCCACCTGTCCAGAGCAGAACGAATCACTCCAACATGACAACCCGCCCGCCGCCCGCTTTCCATTTCCGCAGGTGATATCATGGGCTGGAACTTTTACCCCCTCCCCATAGTTAATAATGCCCCCTCTGTGTGTGTGTCTCCCCAAAGTTCCCAACCAACCAACCAACCGGAAGAGCCACAATTAGCCTCTTGTAGGATAGTGTGCTAGCATGGATGTTGTTCTTGTGAAGAGAAGATAGTGGAGCCCGAAGAATAGCGGTTCAGTGTTGGCGTTGGCTGGCGGGCGGGCGGGCGCGGTCGAGTTGTGAATTGCTTGGCTGGATCCCCGACAGGCAAAAGGGAAAAGAAAAGAAAAAAAAAACCTGGACCGGCGCGTTTCAGGTGGTCACTAGTTCCTGTAACCCTGAGAAGAGAAAACAAACCACAAGTCGTAGCAGTTGACTTCTGTATGGTTCAAAATGGGGCCTTGCCGGGGGGAGGAGGGGTGGTTTCCAATGGAGCCCGACATCTCAGGGCTCTACGGAGTGTACACACACTTTCTTTTTTTGAGTTCGGACTTAATTGTCAGTTCTTGGGGGTTGTTGAAGCACTGAATTAGAGTTGTGACTTCGGGGCTGGGGATTTTTTTTTGGTCAAAAGTATGTCTTTCGGCATTGAGCGACTGACAGTTTTTACCGCCCCGGTCTTGGTAGGTACCAAGCAAAATAAGCCTCTCCTCGTCTCATTCCTATTCTGCGCGTACTATCTGTGTTGTTGACCTGATGATGATGATGATGATAATGATGAGTGTCTTATTTGAAATGTTTGCATAGTGAACACTAGTTAGTAGTCTCTCTCCCCCCCTCCCCCCCCTCAATGGGAAGTCACTAAATAGCCCTGCGCTGATTAGCTACCTATAGTCTATCACAAATATAACCAAGGAAAATCTCAGGGAGGAAAAAACAAAAATACCACAAACAACAACACAAAAAAGAA